GACAATGTTAGGACTTCTAACAATCGAGCCATCTCGTCCGCTGTCTGCCCTTTGGCTGTCTTTCATGTAACTTTCCACAGAGTTCCTTATTACGACAAGAGCGGAGAAACAATTAGCGTTACACCTACGGACTATCTCAATTAAACTGCAGTCAGGTGGACAAGGCGAATTGCAGCCTTATGAGGCGATTGGATCAGATATGACCGTGCCTCTCTCCCTTTCTTATATGACCACAATAGAGTACAATGTTTTTCTTGCTATTGACAAGTAAATGACTTAATTCAAATATTTCGAGTGACTTCGGTGAAGCAGATTTGGATAAATTCCTTGCGCAAGGGATATTTGCGGTTATAATACAAAAATTGTCAGTTCTCTTTAATCGAAACCAGTACTTCTAGTTCGAGGTCTGTATGTTTGCCGAATGATCTCAATCATATGCTTATCCTCTAACAATAATTAATTTATTGCATCTGCTAATAAGGAATCCTTTAAAATTGTTTGAAACAGTACAGGATTCACCTGAGTTTTCGAGATTTCGTTATCTCGGTACGACAGTGTAAAAGAGACTTTTAATTTAACCTGCAAATCTCTAGTGTAAAAGAATATGGTATAAAAGTATAGTACGCACGTGTTCATGAAGCTCAATCGAAACCCGGTTAATGCCATTGTTTGCGTGAGAACGGGCGAAGTGAAACTTCTAAGATATTGTAGACGAAAAGTTACATAAATGCAATGCATGCTTCAGCTGTATGTATTAAAACTTGACATATGTTTCTAAACTTCTTTAATGCTGTATGTTATTTCAATTACAGTTAAGGCGAAACGGGATTAAAACTTAGTAAACTGAGCAGACTGTTAATCCATGATCGAATCTAATGTGTTTTAGCGGTATTTAAATTAGCCAATTACAGGTTGAACGGATTTAACGACGGAACAGTTCAGAGAAACGGCAGTTTATCTGAATCAAAGTGTGTTGTGTTCATCATAGGAATGGAAGCAAAGTCTGTAACCGTTAAGATGTTGATCTTCCTTATTCTCCCATGGTAGGGCTGTTTCTAGCGCTTAAAGTTAATGGCGGGACGCGCTGATTTCTATTTCCGTGCAATCAACCATGCGAGCATTATTTTTTAACGCAGAGTCGATTTCAGCTACTTAGCAAGCACAGAGTGTATCGACCTGTTTCCTTATTACTCATCAGAATGACGCTCACTTATCAACTTCGGAAGGAAGAATGCTGAATGATCCGACCGAGTCTACAACCTGAGACCTCTCGGTTTTGAGATATACGCTCTACTGACTGAGCAACTCCGGTTCATAGATTCATCATAGACACTGGTGCGGCTGTTGTGCAATGTGTTCGTTGGCTATCCTTCTGTTCGAGAGCAGTTTCTTCTACTGATAACATGCGGGTGGCGCTAATTGCTACAGTTTTGCGCCAGCATGTGCAGAAGAAGAACAGAGCAAAATTGACGTCCTCCAAACAGTTGCCTCAGAAAATGTTTATTCGTTTCCAGTGCGCTTTCGACCTTAGGGGACAGTAAAAAACTCGAATAAGAGAATTACCAGTAACTTAGACAGTTTCTCGTTAGGATTCTCAGGCAGGTGTAGGTGCAGCGACACCTGTTCGTAAAAACTTACCCCTGAGACAGCGCATGTTAATATATTTGTGTGAACTTTATTATTATTTTTTTATCTTTGCCCTTCTGTATAGCGTTTAGTTGTGATAGGACCATTGTTGTTCAACTTAATCAGCATATCTGCTTCACTGATAATGGGGACAGAGAACCGAGAAATCCGGCCTGCATTAAATTAATATCGGCTGTAAAAAGCTTCTTTCTGATCTCTTATACGCTCCCGAAACAACTACAGTCATGAAGCTTCAAGAAAATCATCTCTGCTACCTTCAGAAATGTTACCTTGCAATATCCTACAGGGCCAGTGGTGTCAACGACTAACGAGCGATCATGTACAAAAGCCCTCGGATAAAGAAACACTCTGAAGTATTAAGGGAGCGACGTCTCTCATGGTTCGGTAAGACGGCTCAGAAGACGAGGGGTATGATAACAACATTCCTCCAAAGAGAGCCTACCACTGCATTTAAAATAAAAGGTGGCCAGTTTGGAAGTTGGTAGAGTCTGTTAGAAGCAGACTCTCTCGGGGTGAAGAATATGTCCTTTGGGAAGCAGTTAATGTTTAAAGTACTTAAATGAATCACTGCATGTATATAGGATATTATTAACCCTCTGGACGTGGGGTTGTTCTCCTTATCACTTCCCAGATACATTGAGAAGCAGCGCACGTTGAATGTGAAATGTTTGTGATTGTTTTACCAAAGTACCGATTTTCATTGATTTCTAACAAAATCCTTGAGAGATTGTATTAAAAAGTAAGCCTTAAAAATTTAGACCTGCGTTTTCCTTTTAATACTTTCTTTATTCATGTTCATCTGCATATATTAGGCGGTAATTTCAAATGATTATAGATATTTTCATACCTTTATCCGATTTCAGTCAAACAAGTCTGCCAAACTTCTGTTTTTCATATATTATTGTTTCTGTTTTAAATACATAATTTTTTTTGTTTATTCTAGACGTCATGAACGACCTTGACATCAGGTCGATGTGGCAGAAGGCGGACGCAGTATGCTTCGACGTTGATTCGACGGTTTATCCGCGCGAGTCGTTGGACGAGTTTGCGGAATTCTTAGGCGTCAGCGAAGAAGTGAGGGAAATGTAAGTCGTATAACAGCCTCATCTCAACTGTTCACTTACATCTTGCAGTACAGAGCGTGGGATGAACGGCCAGATCGGATTTCAGTGTTCACTGATGTCTCGACTGACAATTATGCAACCTACGCGGAAATCTCTCGAAGAATTCGTTCAGCATAGCGAGCTGATGTTAACTCCCAACATAGAGTATGAGGTTTCTTTTAGTTTTAAACAATGTATAAAGTTCAGTTATTAGTTCATGCTTTGAAGTTCATTCATTTGCAGAGCCCATTATCCCTTTTCGGTCACGGGAAAGGGGGGGGGGATGAAATC